ATTCTTTAAAAAATACACGACTGTATGGCGGGAACCACTTTAAAAATTCACTCCCATAGCTTGAACAGTCCTTCAGAAAAATCCTTTAAAAACTCCAAGTCTACAAATAATAAATTGGATAGTCCTTCTAAAATATTCTTTAACAAATACACGCTTATATACAATTTTTAAAAACAAACAGTCCTTATACCATAAATATATTATCTTTCGATGATAATATACTACCACATCCACTCCATAATTCAATTATAAAATTCATTGAATCAATTCTCTTCCACAGCTGCAACTTTACAAACATCCCGGGGCATTGTCAATACATCCCCATCCACCAGCCCAAACTACACGTAACATGTCCTAGTTTTACAAATGTTTTATTGCACACAACAGCACAAACAAGCAAAACCAAGTGTTATGGACATTTTATTGAAATTAATTGCTTAGAAATTTTCAGAAAACAATTTCCACCACAATGACACTTCATATTAACATGGAAAAGATACACAACACAATGGCACTTCGCAACTTAAATACAAAACTCAAATTCACATCTAAACGAGAGAGCAAATAAAAGTTTTTGCAAATACAAAATTGTAGGTAGCAGTGTGATAGTGCGGTACATGTAATGCAGTGTGGAGGAAGGGGAGGAGATATTATAAGAGTTTACAAAATTTTCGTCCTCCTCCTCCTCCCTCTCTCTCTCTCTCTGTTGCGTTGACGCAAAACTAATGAATAAACCATAAATTTGATAGTTGTAACCATTGTTAGGGTGGTTGTTATCCCAGTCATAACCACTACAATTTACCTAATTGACAATCACGGCAAGGACAATCAAGTAGATTTGAGGAATAAAATTCGAAACTATGGTTCTAGAGGCGGATATGTTATGATCGGAAAATTAGACTTATGGTGCAGTTTAAACAGGACTGCCAGGGACTGGAATATTTAATAATTTTTTTGGAGGACTTTCAGATCCATGGATTTCCACTAGGAAAGAAGACGATAATTTTGGATTTTTTAAAGAATATTCTTTCCAGGACTATCAGGACAATAAGCGTGATCTTTCTAAAGAATATTCTTTCCAGGATTATCAGGACAATAAGAGTGGATTTTTTAAAGAATATTCTTTCCAGGACCAAAAGCCCCATAAGCGTGGATTTTTTAAAGAATATTTTTCAAGGACCAACTGACCAATAAGCGTGGATTTTTTAAAGAATATTTTTCAAGGACAACTGACCAATAAGCTTGGATTTTTTAAAGAATATTTTTTCAACGACCAACTGACTAATAAGCGTGGATTTTTTTAAAGAATATTTTTCAAGGACCAACTGACCAATAAGCTTGGATTTTTTAAAGAATATTTGTCAAGGACCAACAAGGCTAAGGCGTGGATTTTTTAAAGAATATTTTTCAAGGACCAACACAAGAAGCGTGGATTTTTTAATGAATATTTTTCAAGGACCAACAGACAAATACAAAGATAAATATGAAAAAAAGAATATTTTTCAAGGACCAACTGACCAATAAGCGTGAATTTTTTAAAGAATATTTTTCAAGGACCAACTGACCAATAAGCGTGGATTTTTTAAAGAATATTTTTCAAGGACCAACTGACCAATAAGCGTGGATTTTTTAAAGAATATTTTTCAAGGACCAACTGACCAATAAGCGTGGATTTTTTAAAGAATATTTTTCAAGGACCAACTGACCAATAAGCGTGGATTTTTTAAAGAATATTTTTCAAGGACCAACTGACCAATAAGCGTGGATTTTTTAAAGAATATTTTTCAAGGACCAACTGACCAATAAGCGTGGATTTTTTAAAGAATATTTTTCAAGGACCAACTGACCAATAAGCGTGGATTTTTTAAAGAATATTTTTCAAGGACCAACTGACCAATAAGCGTAGATTTTTGAAAGAATATTTTTCAAGGACCAACTGACCAATAAGCGTGAATTTTTTAAAGAATATTTTTCAAGGACCAACTGACCAATAAGCGTGGATTTTTTAAAGAATATTTTTCAAGGACCAACTGACTAATAAGCGTGGATTTTTTTAAAGAACATTTTTCAAGGACCAACTGTCCAATAACCGTGGATTTTTTTAAAGAACATTTTTCAAGGACCAACTGTCCAATAACCGTGGATTTTTTAAAGAATATTTTTCAAGGACCAACAGACAAATAAGCTTGGATTTTTAAATGAATATTTTTCAAGGACCAACAGAGCAATAAGCGTGGATTTTTAATGAATATTTTTCAAGTACCAACAGACAAATAAGCGTGGATTTTTTAAAGAATAAAGGACCAACTGACCAATAAGCGTGGATTTTTTAAAGAATATTTTTCAAGGACCAACTGACCAATAAGCGTGGATTTTTTAAAGAATATTTTTCAAGGACCAACTGACCAATAAGCGTGGATTTTTTAAAGAATATTTTTCAAGGACCAACTGACCAACAAGCGTGGATTTTTTAAAGAATATTTTTCAAGGACCAACTGACCAATAAGCGTGGATTTTTTAAAGAATATTTTTCAAGGACCAACTGACCAATAAGCGTGGATTTTTTAAAGAATATTTTTCAAGGACCAACTGACCAATAAGCGTGGATTTTTTAAAGAATATTTTTCAAGGACCAACTGACCAATAAGCGTGGATTTTTTAAAGAATATTTTTCAAGGACCAACTGACCAATAAGCGTGGATTTTTTAAAGAATATTTTTCAAGGACCAACTGACCAATAAGCCTGGATTTTTTAAAGAATATTTTTCAAGGACCAACTGACCAATAAGCCTGGATTTTTTAAAGAATATTTTTCAAGGACCAACTGACCAATAAGTGGATTTTTTAAAGAATATTTTTCAAGGACCAACTGACCAATAAGCCTGGATTTTTTAAAGAATATTTTTCAAGGACCAACTGACCAATAAGCGTGGATTTTTTAAAGAATATTTTTCAAGGACCAACTGACCAATAAGCGTGGATTTTTTAAAGAATATTTTTCAAGGACCAACTGACCAATAAGCGTGGATTTTTTAAAGAATATTTTTCAAGGACCAACTGACCAATAAGCGTGGATTTTTTAAAGAATATTTTTCAAGGACCAACTGACTAATAAGCGTGGATTTTTTTAAAGAACATTTTTCAAGGACCAACTGTCCAATAACCGTGGATTTTTTTAAAGAACATTTTTCAAGGACCAACTGTCCAATAACCGTGGATTTTTTAAAGAATATTTGTCAAGGACCAACAGACAAATAAGCTTGGGTTTTTAAATGAATATTTTTCAAGGACCAACAGAGCAATAAGCGTGGATTTTTAATGAATATTTTTCAAGTACCAACAGACAAATAAGCGTGGATTTTTTAAAGAATAAAGGACCAACTGACCAATAAGCGTGGATTTTTTAAAGAATATTTTTCAAGGACCAACTGACCAATAAGCGTGGATTTTTTAAAGAATATTTTTCAAGGACCAACTGACCAACAAGCGTGGATTTTTTAAAGAATATTTTTCAAGGACCAACTGACCAATAAGCGTGGATTTTTTAAAGAATATTTTTCAAGGACCAACTGACCAATAAGCGTGGATTTTTTAAAGAATATTTTTCAAGGACCAACTGACCAATAAGCGTGGATTTTTTAAAGAATATTTTTCAAGGACCAACTGACCAATAAGCCTGGATTTTTTAAAGAATATTTTTCAAGGACCAACTGACCAATAAGCCTGGATTTTTTAAAGAATATTTTTCAAGGACCAACTGACCAATAAGCCTGGATTTTTTAAAGAATATTTTTCAAGGACCAACCGACCAATAAGCCTGGATTTTTTAAAGAATATTTTTCAAGGACCAACTGACCAATAAGCCTGGATTTTTTAAAGAATATTTTTCAAGGACCAACTGACCAATAAGCCTGGATTTTTTAAAGAATATTTTTCAAGGACCAACTGACCAATAAGCGTGGATTTTTTAAAGAATATTTTTCAAGGACCAACTGACCAATAAGCGTGGATTTTTTAAAGAATATTTTTCAAGGACCAACTGACCAATAAGCGTGGATTTTTTAAAGAATATTTTTCAAGGACCAACTGACCAATAAGCGTGGATTTTTTAAAGAATATTTTTCAAGGACCAACTGACCAATAAGCGTGGATTTTTTACAGAATAAAGGACCAACTGACCAATAAGCGTGGATTTTTTAAAGAATAAAGGACCAACTGACCAATAAGCGTGGATTTTTTAAAGAATAAAGGACCAACTGACCAATAAGCGTGGATTTTTTAAAGAATAAAGGACCAACTGACCAATAAGCGTGGATTTTTTAAAGAATATTTTTCAAGGACCAACTGACCAATAAGCCTGGATTTTTTAAAGAATATTTTTCAAGGACCAACTGACCAATAAGCGTGGATTTTTTAAAGAATATTTTTCAAGGACCAACTGACCAATAAGCCTGGATTTATTAAAGAATATTTTTCAAGGACCAATTGAGGCGTGGATTTATTAAAGAATATTTTTCAAGGACCAATTGAGGCGTGGATTTATTAAAGAATATTTTTCAAGGACCAATTGAGGCGTGGATTTATTAAAGAATATTTTTCAAGGACCAACTGACCAATAAGCCTGGATTTTTTAAAGAATATTTTTCAAGGACCAACTGACCAATAAGCGTGGATTTTTTAAAGAATATTTTTCAAGGACCAACTGACCAATAAGCGTGGATTTTATTTATTTTTCTAGCTTTAAAAAGGCAATAATCGTTTCATTTTGAAGAACACATATCAAGGACTATCTGACTATTAAGCGTCTAATTTTGCAAGAACTATTAGACACTGATTTTTATGGATATTATTCCAAAAAGATTAATTTGAGACCTTGCTTGGTCTCATATATATTTTAACTAATCCTATTTATTCGTATTAATATGTTGTGTAGTATGTTCAGAAATTCGATGTGTCCGTCAATTATTTTACATTTTCATATTTTCCATTTCAATACTTACCGTTCTCAACATTTCATTGCAATCTGGGCCATTACGTCCCCCAAGGCATTCACAGCTGTAGTCATTACCGTGATCGATGCAACGTCGTCCTTCAGGACATGGTTTATTAGCGCAAAAATCCACCTGAAATTGTAAACCAACACAATAAAAAACTGAATGCAATAGAATGAATAAATGCATAGAAGAAAAAAACGACCATTGATATAGAAAATAATATGGTAAGAGAAATTTGAAAACAAAATACTTAAGTTATATAAAAAAAACTATTAAGTAATAAAAAAATAATATAAAAGATATGAATTAGGGGGAGAATGAAATAAAACAAAACTCAAGTTGAGGGAAGATATTTTTTTACAAAAGTAAGTTGTTCTATTTCTTGTTGAATTTAATTCCCCAGTGCTGGGTAACTTTTTTTGCATTTAGTTTACTGAAGACAAAAAAAGTTATAAAACAATATGCAGATATTCGTAATGCTTAATGGGCATGGGAATATAGCTTGGGGTTCACTTAGTTCATTTCACTTTTTTTATAGATTAATGTTTTAATTATAATGTAAAGTTACACAAATAATTTTCACTTTAATTGAATTACGTTTTTTTTACTGAAGGGATGATTTAATGTTTGGAATGGGCAAATTTAAGTGACAAATTGTTATTCCCATTGAAAGAAAGGAATAATAATTTAAAACTATTTTTGTAGTTGGTTTTCGTTTAGTGTTTGATCTATATAATTTTTTGTAGGGGAAATATTGGTCATACCTTAATATGACACCTTGTGCCAGTGTATCCCTTACTACAGCGACATTCATAGCTGCCAATGTGATCAATACATTCTCCACCATTTTGACAGGGATTCGATTCGCATTCATTATACTCGAAGTTACACAATTCACCAGCAAAGCCTGCAAAAGTTTAGAAGAACAACATTAATTTAATCTTATTTATTTACGTCTGTTATTACATAATTGTCAATATTAAGATGTTCAACTTCACCACTATATATCATTATTCGGTAGGTGGCTACAGGAAAGTATCGAAGACGAATTTAACAAGTGAAAAAGGGCCCGGGCCGAATTTTGGACACCCTCCCCCATAACAAAAAATTTTTCTATATAAAAAAATTCAAATTTCAGTAAATAGAGATGTTCCTAAAAAATCTAAAACCCCCAAAATATTGGACCGGTACTAAAAACGGATGGTAGAATGTAACTAATCCTCATGATACTGAAATTTGAGGGTAAAATTATATTGTAGTAAATACCGAGTAATCATAATATGCTCAGTGATGCCTAATCGGAACCGATATAGCTTAATTTAATAACTATTCTTTTATTTATGCATCTCTAAACCCTTCGAAGGTAGTATGATTACAACAGACGAAAGGAAATCTCGAAGTCGTCTAGCTATTTTATTATTTGCGTTTATACCGGATTTGTTACCAAATATTAAACCAAAATAATAAATTATGGCAAATTCGGTTTGAAAACATCCACCACAATGTGGGCCGTGAATCTATATATGGACATTTCCTGTTGGGAGGTAATTTACGCCCTTTGAACCTACAACACCAATTACAGCAATTTAAGTTGGATAATGCGGCCAGGACCTTCGAAAAGTATGAGCTTAGTATTGTTGTGACAGAACGTGGTTGCGAACATATCGACGCCTCCGAACCATAGTATGCTAAAAAAAAGTCACTTTTCAGACTTAGCATACTATGGTTCGGAGACGTCGATATGTGAAGTTGGGAAATCATAAGAATGCATTAACACCGTGCCTAAGTTCTTCTATCGAGGATAGGAGTCCATTCATTAAATACGAGTATGAAAACCATAAACTGATGCTGAACATTTTCTGCCATTAGATTATGGCGTTTGACGTTCGAACACTGTTGTGTTATTCACAGAGAGTTTCAAAATAAATTTGCCAAAAATACAATTAACACATCCTCTTAAACCTTCAAAACAGGTTTAATTTTTTTTAATTGTGGTCGTCGCTTGCTCAAAGACAACTGTGTGATGAGCCTGAAATGATAGTACCGTGAGACAGAGGCACTCTGGGGCATTCCTTCCGCTATCATATATTCGATATTGTATTAACTCATGGCTATAACGATTTTGTTGGATCCCGAACAATTTGTATATGGCTTAAAAAGTAGTATCAATTGGTGCAAAGCTATTTTTAAAATGTGTAAATTATCGGATGGGTGTGCTATTATGTGGGAGTTAAGTAGTGTTAAGGAAAGAAGTAAAGTCAGACGGGCGTCTATATGATACCCTTTACTACGTTGTCTATATTCAAGAGATGCATCCTAACAGACCTTGCATTTCTGAAGGACTACAGTGGACTACATTCAATATGTAATCTGTGTCTATACGTGAACAGACTTAACCGTATAATCAATAACCGGGGACATTTGTACCTTACTATGATGGAGGGTATATTAAAGGGGACACCCCATTCTCGATGTCAATTTTTTTTTTTTTGATTTTAATCGAATCTACTATAATTCTAGATTGTCTTTACAAAACTTGAAGTGAAAATCTCAACAACTTTTGAAGATATAGCCGATTTGTTGTGTCAGTATCAAGTGAAGGCAAGAGAGATTCTCAAACTTTAAACGTATCGAGTCAATGTTTTACCAATGTTTATACCCTTCACCACACTGTGGTACAGGGTATTATGTCTTTGTGCATATGTTTGTAACAGGCAAAAATAATCGAGATAGACCCATGGTTCCTTTTGAGAATATGCATAGAATCACTTTCTAAGTCGATTTATGCATGTCCGTCCGTCCGTCTGTCTGTCGATGTTAAATTGTAAACAAAGTACAGGTCGCATTTATGATCCGAATTGGATGAAATTTGGCACAGGTCACTTATTCAGCCCAAGGACAAACCCTATTGAAATTGGGAAAAATCGGTTCAGATTTAGATATAGCTCCCATATATATATTTAACCGATTTAATGTAAACGGTCCCTATATATCTTTCGATTTGCACGAAATTTGGTACAGGCTAATCATTTAGGTCTATAATGATGTCTGCCAAGTTTCGTGAAAATCGGTCCAGATTTAGATATAGCTCCCATATATAGTTTCGTCCGATTTCAGGTAAATGGTGCCCCAAAGTCCCTATATATCTTTTGATTTGCACGAAATTTGGCATAACGTGCTGAATTAAGCCTAGAGTGATGTCTGCCAAGTTTCGGGAAAATCGTTCCAGATTTAGATATAGCTCCCATATATAGGTTCGTCCGATTTCATGTAAATGGTGCCCCAAAGTCCCTATATATCTTTTAATTTGCACGAAATTTGGCATAACGTACTGAATTAAGCCTAGAGTGATTTCTGCCAAGTTTAGAGAAAATCGGTCCAGATTTAGATATAGCTCCCATATATAGTTTCGTCCGATTTCATGTAAATGGTGCCCCAAAGTCCCTATATATCATTCGATTTGCACGAAATTTGGTACAGCCTATTCATTTAGGTCTAGAATGATGTATGTAAAGTTTCGTGGAAATCGGTTCAGATTTAGATATAGCTCCCATATATAGTTTCGTCCGATTTCATGCAAATGGTGCCCCAAAGTATCTATATATCTTTCGATTTGCACGAAATTTGGCATAACGTACTTAATTGAGCCTAGAAGGATGTCTGCCAAGTTTTATGAAAATCGGTCCTGATTTAGATATATCTCCCATATATAGTTTCGTCCGATTTCATGTAAATGGTGCCCCAAAGTCCCTATATATCTTTCGATTTGCACGAAATTTGGTACAGCCTATTCATTTAGGTCTAGAATGATGTATGTAAAGTTTCGTGGAAATCGGTTCAGATTTAGATATAGCTCCCATATATAGTTTCGTCCGATTTCATGTAAATGGTGCCCCAAAGTCCCTATATATCTTTCGATTTGCACGAAATTTGGCATAACGTACTTAATTGAGCCTAGAAGGATGTCTGCCAAGTTTTATGAAAATCAGTCCAGATTTCTATATAGCTCCCACTTATATATAGCTCCCACTTATAGTTTCGTCCGATTTCATGTAAATGGTGCCCCAAAGTCCCTATATATCTTTCGATTTGCACGAAATTTGGTACAGCCTAATCACTTAAGTCTAGAATGATGTATGTAAAGTTTTGTGAAAATCGGTCCAGATTTAGATATAGCTCCCATATATAGTTTCATCCGATTTCATGTAAATGGTACTCCAAAGTCCCTATATATCTTTCGATTTGCACGAAATTTGGCATAACGTACTGAATTGAGCCTAGATTGATGTCTGCGTTGTTTCGTGAAAATCGGTCCACATTTAGATATAGCTCCATTTTATTATAGTTTGATTTTAAGTACTTGACGCACCAAGGAACCAATAGGAACAAAACGTTCTGAAATTAGTATAACGTATCCTGTGACAAGTTTGTTTGAAATCGCTTAATATTTGGCCCGATTTCAAGTAAATTGCGCATCAAACTCCTCATGTTAGTCAGTTTGACATCAAATTTTGCACAACGTACAAAATTGAGCATAGAATTATGTAGTTTCGTTTTCTAGAAGTACAGACATAGCCCAACGGAAGACCTATTTATATTTGTTTGAAGTCGATTTACATACTTTATGGATAGATCTACGTAGATTCACATTTAGATAAATATCACATATTTTATTTCATTCAAGTTCATGCTAATAGTCCTGTTTAATATACCCATAGTGGTGAAGGGTATCATATAGTCAGCCCCGTCCGACTTTACTACTTTCCTTACTGGTTTTTAACTTGGTTTGTGGTAAAAAATAGGCGATTTTTCAAAAATATTTTTTAAAGGTCCGCAATTTTGCTGATTTTTGAGCGAAGCCAATAATCCTAGTTCATACGAGAGCCAGACATGTACCCTTTCTAACACTGTTGGAATTTTCGGATTCCGATGTTCCAGTGAGGAGTTATCATGCCCGCCTTAAACCAGTGAGCGGAGCAGTATAGTCGGACGGGGCCGACCATATGATACCCTACACAACTTCCACGAAAAACTAACTGTCTGTGGATTTATATGTTCAGTACAGCCCTTCTAATTACTTGTCCATATTCCCATCCCTTGTGTTGTGATTTTCTTATTCCCATTGGAGCCTGTAGACCGACTCGAAAAAACACAACAAATTAAGTTTTCGGTCCACTTCATCACAATATAATTATCTGGCCATCACCGAAAATTATAGGCGTTATCCTTGACCATAACTGGAACATCATGGAACATTCTAAAGCGATCAGCGCTATATTTCCGCCCTCTAGTGTGTTAAAGAGTTAATAAATATTATCTGAATCCATAAGCACCTGTAAATGTTTAATTGTAACTCTCACATCTGAGTACATACGACCATAAAAGTGGTATCAATTTAAAGGCCAACCACTGCCCTTGGATATACCAACAACTTTTCGCGTCTATGTCTTTCGGGTGTGAAACTATACGCTATAGAATACAAATTTTGTAATTTTTCACATACAAGTCAGGGTCCATTTGACCCGCTAAATATTGACCGATCCTTATCAAAACAGGCATGCTTATTCTTTGGCCCGATCCCCTTCTCTATGTAAAAATTCGCGATGTTTGGGTCATAATTGCGGCCTCTAGAGCGACCAGAAAAAAATGATAAAAATTAAGTATTTGGTGCATTTCATCCCCTAGATACTAACCGTCTTTACCAAAAGCAATAGGGGTCTTCTTTGGGCAGAACCCATCCTACATGCAAAATTTCGTGAAGATTGGTCCATAACTGTGGACTGTATCGTGATTACAAAATATATCGTGTATCGTGATTACACATGTCTAGATCGACTCAGCTAGTCGAGATATGACGATCGGTATACTTAAAGGTGGGTCTACGACCAATATTTCGCGGCGTTACAAACTCTTGGATCTGCACAAAGCTATAATACCCTGACAACATTGTTGTGTAGGGTATAAAAATAAGGACTTTACTTCAGTCACCAAAAACAACAACAACATTTTGTAAATTATTTTTCTTCTCTTTGAAATCTTCAACCATATATGTGTAAAGTTACACACCTTAACATGCATTGGTATTCATTTACCAGCTCATTGAAAATCTTGAAAATATCAAATCGATAATGGGGGGTTTCCCTTAAGTTGGTTTTTTCGTTTATATTTCATCGAAATAATCATTTCTATATTTTTATATCAGCGTAAAATATTATGACGATTTAAGTTTGTCCGTTGACTCTTTGGTGAACCATTTGCCAAAAATGGGATTGAACTGATCCGATTTCAATGAAACATGACACACGTTGGCTATCTTAAAAAAATTTCGTACCGATCGGCCTTAATTTCTATCCTAACTTGAGCACCTTGTCGCCGATCAGCCTGAATTTGGCTCTTTGGTGCACCGTTAACTTAAAATCGAGCGAAAATATATATGGGAGCTATGTCTAAATCTGGATCAATGTTCACCAATTTCAATATGGTTTGTCCTTGGGCCAAATGATCTGTGCCAAATTTCATCTAATTCGGATAACAAATGCGACGTACATTTTGTTTACAATTTAACATGGACAGACGGACATGCATAAATCCACTCATAAAGTGATTCTATGCATATTCTGAAATGGAACCAGAACGACATAGACACTCGTTTCCATGCATAAATCGACTCAGAAAGTGATACTATGCATATTCTTAAATGTGCCTATCTCGTTTCTTTTGCCTGTTACAAACATATGCACAAAGACATAATACCCTGTACCACAGTGTGGTGAAGGGTATAAAAAGGGGATTATATGGGGACTATCCCAAAAATTGGGCGAATATTAATCATTTTTGGGAGAGAGATTTGTTAGCAAGTACGACTACAAAATACCTAATTACAGCAACTTCGATTAAAAAACGTGCTCCATACCCTCACAGACCGAAAATTTTGGAGTATCGTTATAAGGGTGCGAGCGGAAAAAGCGAACATATATTTATAGGTTTTAGTGGAAAGATTTAGTACACAACAAGAACCGAATATTCAAGTTACAGCTAATTCGGTCGAAAAACGCTCTGAATAACTCCAATATACCGAAAAATAGGGTGTACCGTTATATAGGTGATTTACGGAAATATGAACCTATATTTCTAATTTTTAGTGGAGATATTTGCTATCTAATAAGAACGCAAAGTATTGAATTACAGCGAATTCGGTATATTACCCTGACGGATATTTTTAAATCGTCATACAACGGAAAATCAAACTTAATATATATTTCATACAATGGTAGATTATATAAAGAATCAGATACATAATTTTTCGACCGTTTTATACCCTGAATATGAACTGATCATTTCCAAAGATGTAAGTGCCGTCTTTGGTCAGAACCAAAAATAACATCCAACATTTCTTGAATATGGGTCCATAACTTCGGCCTATACTTAGACCACAGACGGATGGGCACACGATCCATTCAGCTGGATCAAAAATCTACATATCTTGACGTTACAGAATCTGGGTCCAGAACATAATCGCCTAGGTTAGAAATTAATAAATTTCGACCTTCAGGTCGATGTGTATACAAATCTTAGTAAAGATATCGATGTATTCCACATGAACGGTACCTTTGAGTTTTCATATTCATAAAGTAATTCGGCATTACGAGCTTACACGTCGTAGAAGTAATTTGTCATTTTGAGTTTTCAGGGAATTAAAATCTTCCTGAGAAAAAACTTATCCAACTTCCATTTGTCGTGACATAAGTTTTTTCTTTACTTTTCCTTTTCCACAATTTTCTTAACAAATTGCCATTATATACAAAAAAAAACATCACCCGCATCGGATATAAAGAAACAACTTTTGATGACATACTACTTAATTCAACGTATTAAGAGGAAATGAAGTATTTTTTAAGCTGAAATGTATTCCCTCCATTCTTGTTTTCAACATATATTCTCACATAGTCGTCATATGCATTAATTTCATCGTATACAAATGGAAAAAATTAAAATGAGTGGAAATTGTGGTTTTTATTTTCTTCATCCCTCCTTTTTTAAACCAGGGGAAGGATATTGATGGAAGGGATAAATACCAATCGAAATATCAGCTATAATGGCGAAATCTTTAAAACAAAAATCTTATACCATGGAGTAGTTTTTAATGTATTTTCAATTTTTTATGTATTGCCTTACTATCTCAGGTCATGAGTAACTAAAGTTGTAAAATTTCAAATTATGAACATTATTTTTTATGAAGTATATCCTGTGGAGCGTTTGTAAAATCTGACAGTTTTTCATCATCCTTAAAACTTATTTTTATTTCCGTCTATGACTTAGAAAAACCACTGTCTAGTCCTTGCAGGCAATCTTCTACTATTCTTAGGAAATTGTCATGCCCTGCAGTACAAACTAAGATTTTCTAACAAATTAAATTATGTTGACAATTGTTTATATAATAAACTATTTTCATTATTGTTTGTTTGAATTGCATAACAACAAGACAGGACAAGATACAATTAAGCCAATAAAAGTTTAAACAAGAGGAAACGGAATGGCAGACAGATATTATGCTTAAAAACATCTCCGGTGAACTCAAATACCTTTTAAACCACAATAGAAAACTTTGTAGTTGTTGTATATTATTCTGCTATTTCTTTATTTTATATTTAATTAAGGTACACTACAAAAGCACTTACCTGGTTGACAGAAACAACGGAAACCATCCTCCTGATCTACGCAAATGCCATGAATACAGGGTGAAGATTCACATTCATTGAGTATGTGTTGGCACAAAGGTCCTGTGTAGCCGGGTGCACATTCACACCTAATTAAAGAGAAAAAGTAAAGAAAATATTTTTTTATTAATAAGTTTTTAAAGACCACGTACAATTTAAAAAAATCAAGGACATTCCAAGGCGTGGATTTTTTAAAGAATATTTTGTCGGGGTCTAAAACAAGGCGTAGATTTTTTAAAGAATATTTTGTCGGGGTCTAAAACAAGGCGTGGATTTTTTAAAGAATATGTTGTCGGAGTCTCAAACGAATATTTTTTCAGGGACCATAAAGGGCGTGGATTTTTTAAAGAATATTTTGTTGGAGTCTCAAACGAATATTTTTTCAGGGACCATAAAGGGCGTGTATTTTTTGTCTGAGTCTCAAACGAATATTTTTTCAGGGACCATAAAGGGCGTGGATTTTTTGTTGGAGTCTCAAACGAATATTTTTTCAGGGACCATAAAGGGCGTGGATTTTTTAAAGAATATTTTGTCGGAGTCTCAAACAAATATTTTTTCAGGGACCATAAAGGGCGTGGATTTTTTAAGGAATATTTTATCAGGGACCATAAATAACGTGGCTTTTTTATACCCTTCACCACACTGTGGTACAGGGTATTATGTCTGTGTGCATATGTTTGTAACAGACAAAAGGAAGCGAAATAGACACATTGTTCCTTTTGAGAATATGCATAGAATCACTTTCTGAGTCGATTTATGTATGTTCGTCCGTCCGCCCGTCTGTAGATGTTAAATTGTAAACAAAGTACTGGTCGCATTTGTGATCCTATTTGGATGAAATTTGACACAAGTCACTTACTTGGTCCAAGGACGATCCCTATTGAAATTGGAAAAAATCGGTTCAGATTTAGATATAGCTCCCATATATATTTTCGTCCGATTTAAGGTAAATGGGGCACGAAAGTCCCTCCATATCTTTCGATTTGCATGAAATTTGGCAAAGAGTACTGAATTATGTGCAGAATGACGTGTGCCAAGTTTCGCGAAAATCGGGTCAGATTTAGATATAGCTTCCATATATATTTTCGTCCGATTTAAGGGAAATGGGTCTCCAAAGTCCCTATATATATTTCGATTTGCACGAAATTTGGCATAAATAGCGTGGCTTTTTTAAGGAATATTTGTTGAGGGACCACAACAGGGCGTTGATTTTTAAAGAATATTTTTTCAAAGACTATCCAAGGCATGGATTCTGAAAAGAATATTTTTTTAAGGACTATCCAAGGCGTGGACTCTTAAAAGAATATTTTTTCAAGAACTATCCAAGGCGTGGAATTTTTAAACAATATTTTTTCAAGGACTATCCAAGGTGCGGAATCTTAAAAGAATATTTTTCAAGGACTGTCCAAGCCGTGGTATCTTAAAAGAATATTTTTCAAGGACTATCCAAGGCGTGGAATCTTAAAAGAATATTTTTCAAGGACTATCCAAGGCGTGGAATCTTAAAAAATATGTAGTCCCTTCAAGCTCCTCAAAAGTTAACAAATCTATTGAAATCCCTTTCAATTGTTTATGTCTATGTACCATGAATTTCAATTATTTAGCAACAATAGAATTAATGTGCACCGCAAGCAGCCATCAGCTTGCGACCATAAATGTTGCGGTGAAAACAATTTCGTTATTTTCTGTTCTTTTTTCATTTTTGTAATACAAAAAATAAACAAATACTAATAAAATTTTATGCAGGATTTATTCAATGCTACAGCTAGCAGGATTCTGCTACTTTTCTCCATTTTTTTGTTTTTGTTTGCTTACCTAAAATGTGTTGAATTTCCCACACAGCTGCCACCGTTCATACATTCAGCCGGATTGCAGGGATCCAATTCGTATTGACAGTTTTTACCCGTATATCCTGTAATTGAAAGTCATTGTTATTTGGTTACATTACAACACAAAAAACAGCAACAACAAAGGGCGATTCATGCAAAAAATGATAAGTGAGACGTGAAACAGAGGGTGGGGGAGGGTTGGTAAAAAAAGCTGTCCCTATCATTATTGTAATTCTGGTGTCCAATGATGAGCGAGTGAGTGAGTGACTGAATGGTTGGATATTATGGACCACAATCCATTCAGCATACCGCACCAATAATACACCATCAACATAAATTGAAATCTTCTTTATGGTCGGTGTTGTTGTTGTTGTTTTTTTATTTTTCATGATTTCAGCCATTGTTAGCAAACTGGATATTCTGTTAAATTATGCATAAACGTTTATTTTATACAATTAAATTGGTTTTGTGAAGAACGCTTTTATGAGATGCGATGACATTGTAAGGATAATCTTGCATATTGGAACAATAAGTGGTCATAAAAATGTGACAGTAAAGGGAATGAGCGAATGGGCAGGAATGTGTAAGACCTTAAACAATCACAACGACAATGGATTTTTAAAGAATATTTTTACAGGGACTAAAGAACAATATTTTTTTTATCAGGGCATAGGTTTTTTAAAGAATATTTTTTCAGGGCCTATCCCTGGCGTAGAGTTTCTAAAGAATATTTTTTCAGGATCTATCCCAGGCGTAGATTTTTTAAAGAAAAATTTTCAGGACCTATCCTAGGCGTAGATTTTTTTAGAGCCTATCCAACGACTATAAACGTGTATTGTTTAAACACAATTCTTGAAGGACTGTTTTTAAAGAAAATTCCTGAAGGACGGTCAATGTGGATTTTTTAAAGAAAATTCTAGAAGGACTGTCAGCGTGGACTTTTTAAAGAAAATTTTTGTAGGACTGTCAGAACTGTAAGCGTGGACTTGTTAAAGAACATTTTTGTAGGACTGTCAGGACAACAAGAGTGGACTTTTTAAAGAAAATTCATTTAGGTCTGTCAGGACTATAAGCGTGGATTTTTTAAAGCAAATTCGTGAAGGACTGTAAGGACTATAGGCGTGAGTTTTTTTAAGAAAATTATTTAAAGACTGTCAGGACTATAAGCGTGGATTTTTTAAACCAAATTATTTGAGGAGTATCAGGACTATAAGCGTGGATTTTTTAAAGAAAATTATTTGAGGAGTGTCAGAACTATAAGCGTGGATTTTTTAAAGAAAATTATTTGAGGACTGTCCGGACCACAAGCGTGGATTTTTTAAAGAAAATTATTTGAGGACTGTCAGGACCACAAGCGTGGATTTTTTAAAGAAAATTATTTGAGGACTGTCAGGACTATAAGCGTGGATTTTTTAAAGAAAATTATTTGAGGACTGTCAGGACTATAAGCGTGGATTTTTTAAAGAAAATTATTTGAGGACTGTCAAGACTATAGGCGTGAGTTTTTTTATAAAAATGATTTGATGTCAGGACTATAAGCGTAGATTTTTTAAAGCTAATTATTTTAAGACTGTCAGGACTATAAGCGTGGATTTTTTAAAGACAATTATTTGAGGACTGTCAGGACTATAAGCGTGGATTTTTTAAAGACAATTATTTGAGGACTGTCAGGACTATAAGCGTGGATTTTTTAAAGAAAATTATTTGAGGATTGTCAGGACTAAAAGCCTAGATTTTTAAAGAAAATTATTTGAGGTCTGTCAGAACTATAAGCGTGGACTTTTTAAAGCAAATTATTTGAGGAGTGGCAGGACTATAAGCGTGGATTTTTTAAAGAAAATTCTTGAAGGGATGTCAGGACTATAAGCGTGGATTTTTTAAAGAAAATTCTTGAAGGGATGTCAGGACTATAAGCATGAATTTTTTAAAGAAAATTATTTGGGGACTGTCAGGACTATAAGCGTGGATTTCTAAAAAAAATTATTTGAGGACTGTCAAGACTATAAGCGTGAATTTTTTAAAGAAAATTATTTGGGGACTGACAGGACTATAAGCGTGGATTTCTAAAAAAAAATTATTTGAGGACTGTCAAGACTATAAGCGTGAATTTTTTAAAGAAAATTATTTGCGGACTGTCAGGACTATAAGCGTGGATTTTTTACAGCAAATTTCTTGAGGAATATTCAGGACTATAAGTATTGGCGTGATACCGAGGAGGGGAGAAAAACCAAAAAGAGAGAAAAACAAATAAAACAAATTGGGTATAAGATTTATCTTTTCAAACTTTATTTGGTAAGTTAAGGAGTTTCGAATGAAACAAAACTTTACCTTAATGCGTGCGTGCGAGATCGAAAGCTAGATTACAAGTTTTAGCAACGAAAGTTAGAAAGCAAGTTTAAACAACGAAAGTTAAAATGCAAGTGAGTCGCGGTGAGCAAATGTTGCGTAAACAAGGTCGAGATCACATCGACGACCGTAGCACTGGAAAGTCCTCTCTGCATCCGAACTGAGCGAATGTGACTTCTAGGAGAGAGCGTAGGAAAGAGCGGATACTCTCTCCTACAATCCGAACCAGGCGAATGTGACTCCTAGAAGAGAGCGCAGAGAAGATTCCCCCATTGACTCAAATGAGTGGCCAATTAATGTGAATAATAATTGGTATGCTACGGAAGGGGTGAACAACATATCGAACATATACATTGTCGTAAACAATGTATCGAACCTAAACATTGCCGCCCACCTTGCAGCGCTACAATGCAATGCAACATGAATTAGACTAAATCGCGACTTATTCTAGGTTAGTATTTGCATTATGAATAAAATGCATCGACAGGTATAGTAGTTCAGTTTTATTGAGCAGGTGCGGATATAATTCAATTTGAGATTCTTTATTTTTCGACTATTTTGACAAAAAGAATACACGATGAAGTTATTCTTTACTATTTACAACTAATTTAGTATCTGGTCGACGAACAATTCCTTGTTGGACCTAAAGTGTTTGCTCATGGCAGAGCACAACGAGTTATTGAAATTGCATATTGGCTAAGTATAATTCGATTTTTTTTTTTTTTATTGTGCGATTGAAGTAAATATTACAAATTTTAACTAGAGAAGTCTATTGATAAGACTTCCAGGGAAATCGACTATTATTTGTTAATGTAGCGAACGAGGAATAGCGACTAGAT